GTGGCCCCGGGGGGCAGCCGCTGCCCGAGAGTAGGCTGGTGGCACCCCAGAGTCACGGCCACCAGTGCTCCCGTCTCAGCCCCTGCTCCCAACGGTGCAACGCGAGCCCGTCTGCGAGCGGCCCACCATTTTCCTCTCCTCGCATTGTGGAGAAGAACTTCCCAGGGGTCACCTCCTCAACTCTTTTCTTCCCCCCCCAGCTATTTCTTGTCCTCCGCCTCCGGCTGTTCCCGGCGGGAAGCACAGTGGCAACGGCACGGAGGCGTTCGCGTACAGCTCGGTGGTGAGGTACACGTGTGGCCCTGGGCTCCAGCTCGTGGGGAATGAAACTCTGCGTTGTACGACAGAGAACGGGGTCGACGGCGTCTGGAGCGGGTCCCCTCCCGAATGCAGGGGTGAGCGCCGCTGGGTAATCAGCCTGTTCTCGAGCGGTTTTTCCTGCTGCGCGGTTAATTAGCCCTAATTGCCTTCTGTCGGAAAGGCGAGGACCCCAGCCTGGACAGGCTTTCCCGCAGGGTTTGTTTCCAGGGGAGCAGCATCCGCCAGCAGCAGTGGTGGTTGGCAAGTCTGGGCCTTGCAAGGTGCCAGGATCTGCTGAAGAACAACACTGAGCACAACCAGGTTCACGTTTTTCCCTGCAGGAGGAACAGGCAGAATTTTAACGAACAATGCATGTAGCATATCAGTAACTGCAAAGCTGATGGGCTAAACCTCGGAGTGGGTTTATATCTAGTGTCCAACAACAGCCGGGCCATAAACTCCGCGGGACAGCAGAGTCCCCTCTCTCCGTAAGGCTCCTGGTGTCACCGGGAGGGCCCTGTGTGACTTTTCCACAGCTCTCGCTGCTGTGGCCGCAGACACACCGGCCGGAGGCCACCTGCCCGTGCTGCACCCGCTCCTCGCTGAAGTGTTTTATAGGTTATGATAAACAGGGAATTATCTAAAATATAATTTTGAGTGGTTTTCCTTTATTTTTTTTTCTCTCTCTAGTTAGCACTACAGCAGCCACAAACCAAACGGGACCCTCGGAAGAGGAGATAACAGAGAATCCTTACTGGCTTTGTTGGAGGTGGGGAGAGGCTTTCTGCCTCAGGGTCATTTTAATTGCTGTAATTGCACCCACGCTGGCTGCCTGTGCCTCCGCGTTCAGTGGGATTTCTGCTCTCATTCTTTAGTTCTTTCGGGGGGTCCATCTTCCCGTTTCTCAGGGGTGCCCACAGGCTTATTCCCTGGCCTAATCCCCTTTCCTCTCTGCTCCTCGCCAAGTGACTCCTCAGCTGACGTGGGACGGGGTAGGATTTCTGATGCTTGAATCTCCCTCTGCGCAGCCGAGCGTCCGCGTGGAAACCCCGGCGTTATCTCGGCTGTGTTTGGATGCTGCTGAGGGCGGAGGTAGCTTGGGGGTACGGACCTCAGCTCTGTCCGTGGAGAGAGGTGGGGTGAGGGACGCCAGAAGAGCATAGTGATGTCTGCGGTAGTTAATGACAGATCAGTGTGTAGCGTTTTGTCTTCTCAGCAGCGTTGTGGTTATCTGGGCTTGAATAAAATTGTTCTGCGGGCATGGATTAAGGAACTCCCCTGTTTAGTTCTCAGCATTGTTGCCTTCATTTTGTTAACATCAATTTCATTATTTTCTTCTCTAGCAAGTATCCTCATCCCTTGTGGCATTGGTAAGTAGTTTAAAATTGAAAATACACTTTCCTGACCCAAAGCTGTTTCTCGCTGTTAAACGCCTGGAGCCAGCGGGTTTGGTTTGGTCGTTTCCCTGCCCCTGGTACCGAGCGTCTCTGGTCGGGATTCGGGGTTCTCTGCCGCTGGGCAGTGCAGCAGCGTTGCAAGCACCTGGGTGGGTTGTCTGTGTCTTGGTGTAAAACATCCCCCCAGCTGAGGGTGACACGGAAGCAGCCAGAGAAGCCAACCAAAAACTGTACGCCCTGTCACTCTTTAATTAATAAAGCTGCTTTAAAAGGCCTTGGCAGCCATTGAAAGATAAGAGATTAGCAAAGCTTGGAACATCCTCGTTGCAAAAGAGATCAAGTACTAAAAATGGTGAGTAGGTTTAAAATACAACTGTCTGTAAAAGCTCCAAATAGATGAGGATCTCACCCTTAAGATCATCAGGCTGGCACCATGCTTAGCTGTGGTTTCTGTTCAGAGACCCAGAAGGGGTTTGGCGTTATTCTGGCTGAGAGGGGCCTCTGGGTGGGGACAGGCAGCCCCCCAGCAGAGAATTCGGCTGCCCGTCTGCTACCAAACTGCAGTATTTCACTGAAATCACATACCAGATTTGTTGTTGTGTTTTTTTAAATTTTTTTTCTTCTTTGTTAATTCCCCCAGTAGTCCTCGGAATTCTAGCTGGGATCATCATGAGATGTAAAGACAGTAAAAAATTGTAAGTGAGCCTAAGCTGCACCTCATCAATCGTAACATTCCCTAAGGATAGCTGGGAATTTCCTTTTAAGCTCTGAGTGATAGTAATTACCTTCAGTAATTACCTTCAGTATATATTTGCATGGTGACTACTGTTGTTGCATGTTGCTAAGTTGCTTTTTATTCTATGAATTTCTCCTTTCTGTCTCTTCAGCTCTTACAATACGGGTTTACAAATGCACGAGACGAAGGGAGGGGATCCACTGATGCACCCGAAGATAACGGATGACCAGAGGCAGCCCGTGCCGTGGCATTCCTATTTTTGGTAGGTTTGCTTCTTCGTCTGCCCAAGCGCTTGTGCCACTCTCCAGCTGTACGTACGGACCTCACCGGAGTTATTTCTGGCTACGAACCTCGCCCCGCCTGACCCGCCACAGTTTTTGAATCTAAAATACCGACCCCTCTTCCTCCGCGGTGAGCGTTTTGGAATCTAAAATCCCGACCCCTCTTCCTCCGCGGTGAGCTCGCTGGCGAGGCGACGGCTGCTCCAGGGGAGGGTTCGGCGTTCGCCGGCTGCTCTCGGAGCTCGGCAAGCGCATTGCCCCCGTGTCTCTCGCCCGCAGCCACGCGACGAGTTGCCACGTGTGTC